CTGCATTCCAGTCTGGGCGACAGAGTGAGACTCCAACTCAAAAAAAAAAAAAAAATCTTGTCTTTTAGATATTGACATTTTCAAAAATTAAATCAATGCTTGAGATTTGCTTCAAAACAATCTTGGAGGAGAGGTGATGATGCAGAGATACAGATAACAAAATGTGAAAAAATACTGGGACTTATTGAAGCTGGATGATAGGTACGCTGGCTTCATTATTCTATTCTCTCTACCTTTGAATGTGTTTGTAAATTTCCATAATAAAAATTTATTTTAAAAAGCAAAATAGGCTGGACTCGGTGGCTCGGCCTGTAATCCCAGCACTTTGGGAGATCAAGGCGAGTGGATTGCCTGAGCCTGAGGGTTTGAGATCAGTCCAGGCAACTTGGCTAGACCTTGTCTCTACAATAAATCAAAAATTAGTTGGGGGGTGGTAGCACGTGCCTGTAGTTCCAGTTACTTGGAAGGCTAAGGCAGAAGAATAGCCAGAGTCCAGCAGGTCGATGCTGGGGAGGCTGTTGAGTGGGCCACTGCACTCCAGTCTAGGCAAAGGAGTGAGACTCCAACTCAAAAAAAAAGAAAAAAAGCAAAATAGGCCTGTGTAATGGTTCACGCCTATAATCCCAGCACTTTGGCAGGCTGAGGCAAGAAGATCTGAGACCTTGTCTCTACAAAAACAAACAAACAAAAAAACAATAGCCAGGCATGGTGGCATGTACCTATAGACTAAGATACTGAGGAGGCTGAGGTGAAAGCATTGCCTGAGCCAAGGACACTCCAGCCTGAGTGACAGAGTGAGACTCTGACTTCAAACAAACAAACAAAAGTAATATATATGGTCTTAAAAGAGTTCTTTATTGTATTTTAGAGATACATATCAAAATATTTATGAGTAAATATAATACTTGAAATTTGCTCTAAATAATAAATGGCAAGAAGAAGAGAATTAGAGAACACAAATGAAAACAGTATCAGTCATGAAGATAGGTAACAGATTCATGGGATTTCTATACTATTATCTCTATTTCTGTATATGTTTGAAATTTTCTGTAATGAATAGTTTAAAAAACTACAAAAAACTGAGATTAGAGTTGCTGGCACACCCCAGATAAGCCAGAGTTTACAGTCTGAGTCTAACCAAGTTAATTGCCTACTAAAACAAAAATAGCAACACTCTTTGCAGGAATATTTTGGAATGCAGAGTGTCTACAATAATGTACAATACATAATCCAATATTTTTTGACGTCAACAAACAGGAAAATGTGATCCATTCTCAAGGGAAAAGGCAATCAATACAATTAAATACAACTAACCCTGAGATTAGCTAGATATTGAATTTATTCAAATAAAGCCTGGATTATCTATCTGAGATGCTGGAGTAGGATCATCTTTTAGGATACTAATATGTTAATGTTTTGACTTAATCTATCCCTATGTTGCCTAATACAAAACGATATTACACCAAATAACTGTGACCACAATACCAGATATACAGTATAAAATAATCTTTTACTTTTTCTATGAACTCCTTTGCAGTCGCACTTCTTATTTCTATAAGCTCTACTATATAATTATCTTTTAATTCTAATTTTAAAAATACAGTACTACTTCCCTAAATGTGTGTAGCATTTAGGCCAGGCATTGTGACTTAGCCTGTAATTCCAGAACTTTGGAGGGCCGAGGTGAGAGGATTGCCTGAGTCCGGGAATTCAAGACCAGTCTAGGCAACTTGGTGAAACCTTGTCTCTACAATAAATCACAAAACCTAGTTGGGCATGGTGGCGTGCATCTGTAGTTCCAACTACTTGGAAGGCTAAGGTGGAAGGATCACTTGAGCCCAGCGGGTCGAGGCTGCGGTGGCCGTGAGCATGCCACTGCACTCCAGCCTGGACAACAAGAGTGAGACTCTAACTCAAAAAAAAAAAAGTAAGCCGGGCCTGGTGGCTCAGCCTGTAATCCTGCGCCTTTGGGAGGCTGAGGTGAGTGGATTGCCTGAGCCCGTGGGTTCGAGACCTGCCTGGGCAACTTGGCGAGACCTCATCAAAATAAAAAATTAACCGGGCATGGCAGCGCGCGCGTGTAGTTCCAGCTACTTGGAAGGCTGAGGCAGATGGATCGCTGGAGTCCAGCAGGTTGAGGCTGCGGTGGCCGGGAGCAGCCTCTGCACTCCAGTCTGGGTGACAGAGAGAGACTCCAACTCAAAAAAAAAAAAAAAAAAAAAAGTGTGTGGCATTTTAGTTGTTATACAAACAATTCCAGTCAGGCATAGTAGCTCATGCCTGTAATCTTAGCATTTTGGGAGGCCGAGGCAAGCGGATCACTTGAGGCCAGGAGTTCGAGACCAACTTGGGCAACACGTGAGACTGTGTCTCTATAAAAAATAAAAAAATTAGGTGAGTGTGGTAGTGTGCCTGTAGTTACAGCTACTCAGGAGGCTGAGGCAGGAGGATTGCTTGAGTCCAGGAATTCGAGGATGCATTGGGCCATAATCGCACCACTGCATTCCAGCCTGAGAGACAGAGAGACTCTGCTTCTATGAAAAAAAAAACAACACAAATATATTCGTTCATTTGAACCTTTCAAAATTCTCTATGATGGTAAGAGATTTATAAAACTCAAAGTGTCATAATGACATTCTTTGAACCACACCACGATAGCAGATATTAAAAATCAACTGTTGAGGACTAGAGAGTGAAGGAGACATTTACTGACTTTGCCCTCTTCAGTCACTAAATAACACACACTTATATTTAAGACAACCCTTACATTTTAACTTACAATTTAAGTCAAATTAATGTGAAGAAAAAAATATTAATACAATGTATTTCTTTTAAAAAATACTAATCCCTGGCCTTTAAGATGAAGTGAAGGAGTACTTCATTGGACACAAAAAGGCACATTAAAAGTTACCTGCTGCAGTATCTGACTTTGTATCAAGAGAAGTGGGTGGTGTCTCACAAAGTTCTTCATTTCTGGACTGACAGTTTTCAAAAGTGCTGTTAGGTTCAAGTGAGGCAGATGGAGTAGACACTGAACTTTCTGACTGGCTACCATTTGCCACTGATGTTTCACCTTTTATTGAGTGCATCTAGGGAGAAAAAAAATTAGAAGTTAATTAGCAGATAAGAATCTAAATCTCCAGCCCGAGCGACTCGACGAGACCTTGTCTCTACAATAAATCAAAAAAATTTAGCTGGGCATGGTAGCGCACGCCTGTAATTCTGGCTACTTGGAAGGCTGAGGCGGAAGGATCACTGGAGTCTAGCAGCAAGTTGATGCTGGGGTGGCCGTGAGTGTGTCACTAGCCTGGGCGACAGAGTGAGACTCCAACTCAAAAAAAAAAAAACAATCTAAATCTACCATGGCAGTAGAGAACAAAATATGAGTTAAGTCAATATATATTCTATAAAAGGAGTACTAAACTCTCATAAATAGATGAATCTAAAATGTATAATCCTAAACATGGCATAATCACATTATAGAACTTAACTGCAAGCTGGCAACAGCATAAAAAGATGTGTTTAAAAAACATTACTGACTTCCCTTCAAATTAGAATTTTAAAAAAAAGTTATAAGTGTCTATTAGCCATTTGCCCAAGGTGGACAGAAATAAGAAATTATTGAGTGTAAAGTCCTTAAAATATGTCAAGCAATATACAGTTAGGGCCTTGATTTGACAGCACTCTTTTTCAACAAAGTAGTAATGATGCTCACTATGTGTTGGGGTATGGGGTAAAAGAGAAGAGTGAGTAAGAAGTCACTCAGGCACAGGCACCTATAACTTCGTAATGCCAGTCCAGGAAGACAGTATTTACCACCTTTTAAATTTAATGACATGGCAGTTCCTGAATATACAGAGGGGCTCCAAAATATTCTCATGACAAATTCCTGACATATCATTTCCCCATATTTATGGAAAGAATAGTTCTTTTCCTTCTTACCTGTCGGACTTTGTGAATTCTTGTAACAAGTTCATCTGCAGAAACACTTCCTGCTATTACTTCCAAGGGAATTCCACTGTCTCCAATAAAGAAACTGGATGGAACACACACTACAGGATCTGTAGTTTAATTAAGTCTAACAATTCTTGTGAAACAAAAGTTTTATGAAACACTACTGATAACAAAGCAAATCATCATTGTGAATTTCACAATATAATCTCTGCTAACATGTTTATAAAATAATTTCAACTACTATCATTATATCTGTAGTGCATGTGTATGTACAATTATTTATGATTTGTACGGTATGAGCAAAGAACATCTACTACATTCTCTTGTATCATAACTTTCCTTTACAACCATCTTGCTATCTTGCAACTACTAACATTCCAACCAAACTGCTCCATATTGCTTTTCAGATATTCACTTTTTAAAAACTACCTATACTACCATTAGCTACTGTATTATCTCAAAGGATATTTTAAAATATAAAGTTTCCATAAACAAGAATGTATGATTTCCTAAATAAAAATGATTTCTAAATTTCATGAATCAGTCAAAAGGAAGGTAAATAAGGTAAACACACAAGCAAATATACATACACACAAGCAATTCTTCATTGAAAGGATACAGATTTGTGAAAATTGAAGGCAGGCTTCACTGTAAAACAAAATCAAACAGAAAATCACTAGATGAATGCAACCATTTTCCAAATACTGAGTTGTTTTTATAAAATTTACTGTCCCAATCACAAGTATTTTTCTGAAATTACCAGTTCCTTTCACAGCAATCAGCTAGAAGGAGAAAAACATAACACTTATTTCACAAGACCTTTTTTGGTTTATTTTATAATTTTCAGATTAAAGAACCATTTGCTCTTACAACCTACAACCTGGTGGCTGGATCTGGTGACTAAAATTGGAGTTAGTATCTGCCATGTTGCTTCCTCAGCACCAAATTAAATATGCCTGAATATACTAACATAATCTGGGACAAGAAGATATCTCTATGAATTACTTATGTATGTGATAATATAATACTCTAATAACAAGAGATTCAAAACAATCTAAGTATCCACCAATAAAGACTGAATAATCATGCAATTGTAAAAAGGGAAAATATACAGAAAATATGTCAAAATATTATTTTTGAAAAAAATGGGAGCAAAACAAGTACATTTTCTTAATTTAGTTGACTCTAATCTATAATGGACAATATAAATAAAATGATATGACATAATTAAGTTCAAAGATTCTGTTTTTTAATAACTACAGCTCAATAGCAAATGCTGTTGTGAAGTAGGCTATACTATGATTTGCTTTATGACATTTTTGAGTTTTCTGCTTTTGATTTTGTTTGGAGTCAGGATCTCACTCCGTCACCCAGGTTGGAGTGTAGTAGCACAATCACAGCTCATCGCAGCCTTGACCTCCTGGGTTTAGGTGATCCTTCTGCCTCAACCTCTCGAATAGCCCGATCTACCAATATGCCCAGCTAATTTTATTTTTTGTAAAGATGAAGTATTGCTATGTTGCCTAGGTTGTTCTTGAACTCCTGGGCTCAATACAGGCATCCAGTGACATTTTTGCAAATATGGGAAATTTTAAAATAAAAAATTTTACAAACTTATAGGTAAATGTTTTAATCTTGACAGTGACTTTCAAACACATTATTCGTTCCAATAGTATCAATATCAAAAGGATATGAACACCACTCTGCAATTACTAATGAATTAAGGTTTCTCGGCATTCAAGACTGATGGTTACTAACATCATAAAGAGAGACAATAGGCCAGGCTCGGTGGCTCAGTCTGTAATCCCAGCACTTTGGGAGGCCAAGGCAAGTGGACTGCTTGAGCCCATGGGTTTGAGACCAGCCCTGGAAACTTGGCAAGACCTCGTCTCTACAATAAATCAAAGACTAGTCGGGCATGGTAGCGCGTGCCTGTAGTTCCGGCTACTTGGAAGGCTGAGGCGGAAGGATCGCCAGAGCCCAGTAGGTTGAGGCTGGGGTGGCCGTGACCAAGCCACTGCACTCCAGTCTGGGCGACAGAGTGAGGCTCAAACTAAAAAATAAAAATAAAAAAGAGAGACAAAAGGATATTATGTCTTCTGATGGAAGATATACCACCATCTATAAAGTAGTCTTTTTTTTTTGAGTCAGAGTCTTACTCTGTCACCTAGGTTGAAGTGCAGTGGTTCAGATGATCCTTCTGCCTCAGCCTCCCAAGTAGCTGACACTACAGGTGCATACCACCACGATTGGCTATTTTTTTAAAAATAGAGACAAGGTGTTACTATGTTGTCCAGGCTAGTCTCAAACTCTGGGCACAAGCAATCCTCCTGCCTCAGCATTTCAAAGTGTTGGGATCACAGGCATGTACCACTGTGACCGGCTCTATGAAGTAGTCTTAAAGGAGGGGGCAGGAAATCAAACTTAAGACTGTCAATTTATAGAAGAAAATGGACAGGGAAACATAATAAATGACACTAACAGGCTGTAATCAACAAAATCTATACTGTAGAAAACCACAGAACAAATGACCTGATTTCTCTAAAAAATAAATTGCAAGGAAAAAGAGAGCTATGAAGAAGATGCCTACAGACTAAGAGACCTGAGAGAGATCAAAGCATCACAATGTGTATACCTTGAATTATCCTGAATCAAGAAAAAACTGCAATAAATTAATGAATAAAACTATGACTTTTTTGATAACTGAAAATTTGAACACTGGCTTGTTATTTGATGATATCAAAGAAATATTATTCATTTTTGAAATACTATAGTTATGTAAAAAAATTAAGAATCCTTATCCTTCAGAGGCAAACTAAAATATTTATGCATAAAGTGATAGGATAACTGTGATTTGTTTCAAAATTATTTGGGCTGTGGTATAGATGAAATAAGACTGACCATGAGTTAATACTTACTGAAGCTAGTTGACAAGTACATGGGAGTCATTACACTATTCAGTTACTTTCATACATGTTTGAAATTTCCTGGCTGGGTGCAGTGGCTCTTGCCTGTAATACCAGCACTTTGGGAGGCCGAGGTAGCAGAACTGTTTGAGCCCCAGAGTTTAAGACTAGCCTAGCCAATATAGTAATTAAAAAATTAGCATGGTGGCACATGCCTGGAGTCTCAGCTGCTTGGGAGGCTGAGGTGAAAGGACCACTTGAACCCAGGAGGTCGAGGGTGTGGTGAGCCATGATTGTGCTACTGAACTTCTGTATAGGTGACAGAGTGAGATTCTAACTCAAAGAAAAGGAATTTCGTATAATAAAAAAAATTTTTTAAGGTGGGAGAAGAAATGGAAAAACAAAACAGACTTGTGGATATCAGGTAGTAGGAGAAACCTATAAAAGTCCTTATTCCTATTGAATTAAAAGGCTCCATTCCCAAAAATGGGATTCAAAAGACTAAGTGGTCAATCGTTCAGAGAAATTCAATGTATGATTTCCAGATATTTCCAAGTTCTTGGAAAATGGGGAATCACAGTTCTTTTTGCATTCCTCGCACACAACACATAGCTGCTTGGTACACTAGAAAAACTTGAAAATTTTCCAGCAAGATAAAATAGTGCATTTGGAAAATGGCAGCCAGAATTTAGTTTCCCACTATGCCTTAGATACCTGAAAACATAACATCAACATTCTTACAGTCTATTTACACCATAAATCCCAACCAAAGAACATGATTATAAAACAAAAAAGTAATGAAATACTAAAACATGAGCAAACCTTTTGGTATCAATTTTAATAGCAACAAAACTGTTTGAAGACGCTTCTGTCACTTTCTCATCTTCCCAGCTAGCAGCCATCTGTGTAGACTGCTCATCATCACCTGTAAAACATTTCAAGGATTCTTGTAACATAGGGCTAGGATTTGCTGATACAAATTCTTTTCCCTGAAAAACCAGAACTTCAAATAAAAGTTAATCCTACAAATACTATTTTCTACCAAATGTGAAAACTAAATTTTTCATAAAATGAAAAGTGTGACTGCATATACTGTTCACATAATAAAGAGCAATGAAAACAAACTACATGGACTATTTAGATGACACAAAGTATTTTCTAAAAGATAAATTATGATGCAAATAATATCACAATAAGAAATAATAAGTAGGCTGGGCTCGGTGGCTCAGCCTGTAATCCTCCGCTTTGGGAAGCCGAGGTGAGTGGACTGCCCGAGCCCGTGGGTTCGAGACCCGTCTGGGCAACTTGGCGAGACCTCATCTCTACAATAAATCCAAAAATTAGCCAGGCGTGGTAGCACGCGCCTGTAATTCCAGCTACTTGGAAGGCTGAGACGGAAGGATCGCCGGAGCCCAGCAGGGTGAGGCTGCGGTGGCCGGGAGCAGCCACTGCACTCCAGTCTGGGCAACAGAGTGAGACTCCAACTCAAAAAAAAAAAAGAAATATTAAGTAGAAATGTCCAATGCCTACTTTGGCTTAAGTACATATCATTTTGGGAAATAAAATGTAGCATTTCTCTGTTGAGTTCAATGTCTCCACACCACAGCATTTATTCCCCAAAATGTCTCCAAGGTAGAGGCAGATACTATTCTGTTTGCAGTTTTGGACTTGCCTTTTACTATAGGTATGCTATCTATAAAAGTTATTCTGATCCAAAACTAATCTATGGTGATAGAATTCAGCATAATGGCTGCCTTGATAGAGAGAAAAGTATTACTGAATGATAAAGAGCATTAAGGAGCTTCCTGGAGTGCTGAAAATGTTCTGTATCTTGATCTGGATGGATGACAGATACACAGGTATATTCAAATGTAAAAATCTGTCAAGCTGTCAGAATGATTTCTCTACAAGAAATCAAAAATTAGCTGGATGTGATGGTGTGTACCTGTAGTTCCAGCTACCTGGCTTTCCCCGTCTCAGTCATCTGTTTATGGTTAACTCCATCCTTTCTATTCACAGGCCCCAAAACCTAAGTTATCCTTGCTTCAGTTGACTCTATCTCCAAAATATATCAAGAACATAACTACTCACCACTTCCACTGCTACCACCTTGATCCAAGCTACGGCATGTCACCTAGATGACCACAATAACAACAGTCTCCTACCTGGTCTCACTGATAAGTCTATTTTTAACACAGCAACTTTCTTAAAAAGCAAGATCATATCGACCCTCTGCTCAAAATCATACAATCGTTCCCATTTTCAAGGTAAAAGTCAAAGTCCTTACAAGGGCCCACAAGACCCCACATATCAGGTCTCAAGTAATCTGACTCATTTACTTTCTTGCTTGTTGGAGTCTTACTCTGTTGCTCAGGTTGGTGTGCAGTGGCATGCTCACTGCTACCACAGCCTCAACCTGCTGGGCTCAGGGGATCTTTCTGCCTCACCCTTCCAAGTAGCTGGAACTATAGGTATACACCATCACATCCAGCTAATTTTTGATTTCTTGTAGAGACAAGGTCTTCCCTAATTGCTCAGGCTGGTCTTGAACCCCTGGGCTCAGGTAATCCTCCAGCTTCTGCCTACCAAAGTGCTGGGATTACAGGTGTGAGCCACTGCGCCTGGCTTATTCTTTTCCTTTCTATTCTCAAATATAAAAGACACTCCAGTTTTAAGGTCTTTGTATCAGTCGCTTCCTCTGCCCGGAACAATCTTCCCCCAGATATCCATATAGTCAACTTTCAACTCTCGTATATCTTTGCTCAAATATCACCTTCTCAGTAGAGTCTTACCTAATCACCTACTTTAAAATTACACCTATTGGACATAAGCTCCCTTATCTCCTATTTTTTTTCTGTATTACTTATTACCTTCTAATATTCTATGTTTTTTGTTTGTTTTTTGAGTGGAGTCTCATTCTGCCGTCCAGGCTGGCAGGCAGTGGCACGCTCACAGCCACCGCAGCCTGAGCCGGCCGGGCTCAGGCAATTCTCCCACCTCAGCCTTCCAAGTAGCTAGAACTACAGGTGTACACTACCACGTCCAGCTAATTTTTTTGATTTATTGTAGAGACGAGGTCTCACCAAGTTTCCCAGGCTGGTCTCAAACCCCTGGGCTCAGGCAATTCTCTCACCTTAGCCTCCCAAATTGCTGGGATTACAGGCTTAAGCCACCACACCCGGCCTACTTTAATTATGTTTACTGCTTATTGTGTGTCTCTCTCAATGAGAAAGAAGGTCATGTGGGGAAGAATTATTTTCCATTTTATTTACTGATAAGATTCAAATCCCTACATCAGAACTTCAAACAGAGTAGGTATTCAGTACATACTTTGTGGAATGAATAGCTAAATGTCTATTAAGTATCTTGGCATGCCTACAATGTTTGGCCCTAATGATGTATATATGCATATATTTTGTGTGAGATGAGATCCAGGAATACCAGAAATAAGAGTTTGAAAAATGTGGCCATGGAAAAGTAAACAGGGACTAGAATGCATCCACAGACCAAGACCAAAAAGAAAGTCCCATTAGCAGACTCCCAGATGTTGAAGATGCAGAATGAGGGACAATTACCATTTGCAAGTGAGATCATTCTAAATGTGTCTTCAGAGACTATTGGGTGAGAAGAGGTGTAAGATTTCAAGCAAACGACTCAACTATTACCTAGAAAATAGATATATGGGAACATTCTCAACACAAACACTTGTCAGAGAAGATTAAAGAGTGAGAAATCCTTATCATTCATTCTTTCACATATTCACTGTTTTATTTCACATTTATTTTGTTCTAGAAATGGGGCTATATATTGACTATGAAAGAGCTGACCAATTAGAAGGAACACATTTGCAGGGAAGGACCTGTGTGACTAGGAATGTCCTGAACAAGCTAGAATGAGACAAAATGAGACTGAAGAGTTTAAAGGAGTCAAAGATGACTCCCACACTTATGGTTTATTCAACCAGATGTATGGCAGCACCACTTAGATGCACAACATCAGGGGAGAGGAAAACAAGCAGTAAATATACTTTGAGGTTTGAGAATCCTGTGAGGGCTTAAATGGTGGATGTCATGTAGATAGCTGAAAGCATACATCTGCTTCTTATGAGGAGTACTTTTCACCCCCTCACCTACACTGTACCACATGGTTAGGGGTCCCAAATGTCTTGTCCCTACCGGCAGTATCAGTCCAAGACAGCCTAATGGTGACAACAGTTGCTGGATCAGCAAAGGTAGAAAGCTTAATGGAGTGACTCAATTAGGACTTTCTTAATACTACAGAGTGGGATGATTAATTGCTAACTTTAGTATCTTTAGTTTCCTATATTTATTCAACTTATCAATAGGTGGGCCTAAGATTTTAGGAGAAAACATTGTATCCTCAGTGGTATCAGCAGTATCTAAAGTGAAGGCACTTAAAGAGAATAGTATAGGCTGAGCTCCATGGGTGGCTCAGCCTGTAATCCCAGCACTTTGGGAGAGCGAGGTGAGTGGGTTGCCTGAGCCCACGGGTTCGAGACCAGCCCAGGCAACTTGTGAGACCTCATCTCTACAATACATCAAAAAGAAGGCATGGTAGCACATGCCTGAAGTTCTGGCCACTTGGAAGGCTGAGGTGGAAGGATCGCTGGAGCCCAGCAGGATGCTGGGGTGGCCTTGAGTGTGCCACTGCACTCCAGTCTGAGCAACGGAGTGAGACTCCAACTCAAGGAAAAAAAAAAAGAAAAAGAAAGAAAGAACAGCACAAACTTATAAGTGAAAAGCTGCAGGCCCTAGGACAGCCATTCATCCAACCTAAAAAAATCACAGCTGCTCAAAACCTAAAGGTTTTGTGGTCTATATCAACCAAAAAAGGCAGTAAGTGATTTTTTTCATAAAATGTTAGCCTACCTAGCAACAACAGTCACTGTACAGATGCCTTTACTTCAGATTCCTTTATCAGGCTATCTGCCTTCCCAAGAATAAAAGCAAAATTGTGTTCAGTTTCACTTCTTTCAATTTGCATGGCTACAATACTTTGAAAATCTTGTCAATTTGTTGGCCAAAGAAATTAGTAGTAATTTCTCCAGTCTCCTATATTGATATCCTAGCAACTCTACCATATTCTTTAATTCATCCATGGAAATTTCACTAAATAAAGACAACTTGCCTAAAATGTTTCCCACCTTGAATAGTTCTATGAACCAAAGTATATCCCTTAGACCACTCCTTCCAGATATAAAGGTATCTTTTAAACTTTCTATTGAGTTGGCACATTATTGTTGAGGTCTCAGATCTAAGAAAATCATGAGGTCTAGCTTCAAAGTTATGAACAAAGCTCTAAGCAATCTGTAAGTGATACAGTTTCATGAGTCTGGTATCTACATACTCCTAGAATGACATTAATCCTACTTAGTCTTGGGGATTAACTGGCTAAAATGCTAAAAAATCTAACTATTTTGGAACAGGTTAAGGGACAGACTCCCTTGTGAAATTGCTAATAATCTTTCTGCAAACATTCAAAAGACACTAATATTCTAAATACATATAATTCATGCTTATCAGTAAAAGAGCTGAAGAATGTATAAATATACACAAAGCCTCCTATTACAAGACCTATAACTTAACTATCCTCATTTAACTATCCTAATGGTTTGCACTGGAGTTTCCAAATGGGTTTCCAAATAGTTATTAATAAAATTTAGCATTTCTTCTTTCAAATTAACCAATTACCTCAAGAATACCTTCTAAGAATGTTTGGACACCATCAATTGTTTTTTTTTTTTTTTTAAACATGACTACCATAATCCTAAATTTCCTGATTTCTACAGGTCTGATTTAAATCACCACATAAACAGCCTACAATTGTTTTGTTTTTTCCTTAAGAAATAAAAAACCAAAACATTTCTTTTGAAGCTGCTACATTTAACTAAGACAACACGTAAATCCTTTTTGAAACCTTAGTGCAAGTCACTTTATGACTGTAGATCTAAGTTCCTCATCTATAAAATGGGGATATTAAAACCTGTTCTACTATACACAAAAATCAACTCCGAATGGATCAAAAACCTAAACATAAAACCAAAAACTCTATGAATCTTAGA